AGTGATTTCTCCTTCACTATAAAGCTGACAGGCCCACAGACAAGTGACACAAATGTCAGAACAGGCCACTTCTGTTAGAAGAAGGTACAAAAATATCTTTCAGACTGTCTACAGAGTAAATCATGATGCTTTACTACATTCTCCATGCCTAAGGAAAGATGTGGTATCTGCCACAGAATAAGGAAGATGGAAATGGGAGTGAAAGCACCAGTTTCAAAACCAAGCCACTACACAAATGGAAGTAGCTTTGTCAGATGCCATGAGACAGTAGACTAAAAAGTAGCAAACATGCAATGAATGTGTAAACTTTGATCATTCAGTTGGGTAGGTGGCTGTTTGGGGTCATTTCCCTGTGCCTGCCTTTGGTTTAATTTGAACTTGACTGTTGTCAACTCCTGCCTGCTTTAACTATTGTGATTATCCTGTCAGTTTCAGGATCAATCTACCATAAAGTCAAGCTTCATTTTGTGAGAGAAGAGCTATCAAATAAGAGTTCCACTCACATGATATCTCTTGTATTAGTTGAGACATCAGATACACAGATCTTGGCGGCATCTAAAAATGCTGCTTAAGAATCTAGTTTTAATATTTGGCTGATGGGAAAGAACAAAGAGCCTCATTTCTGAAGCCCTTTAAACAGCAGCAAGCTTAGAGTTGTGTAATACTGTGTGGAAAGATGAATGTTGCCCTGTCCCTGACAGACAACGAAACAGAGGCAGACATCATTAGTGCATATCACACTCCACCTTCAGAGCTGGAGTCTCCACTCGTTCTTTGGGAAAAGAAGTAAAATGTTTCCTATAAAAAAGCTGCTTTGCCCCAGATCTATAGGTATAGCTTACTGTGGTTAGCCTGTTACAAGTTTTAAGCCTTTTTGCAAAATACCTGATATATGGCCAAGATGTGGCTACATTCATAAATGCACACTCAGCATTGTATTATGGTGCGCATGTCAGCATATGCAGTTCCCATTAGAACAGAATGGTCACTTTTTCATGCAGAAAAACTTCTGAGGTTCAGCGGTGAAATGGAAACTTCCAATGGACCCCCTCAGGGCCAGATCCTGAGAGGGTGCAGTGGTTAGATGCACCCTCCTTTCAGTCTATGACACTGTAGAAAAGCAGCCAGGGACTTTAAAATAGTCCTCAAATCAGGTAAAAAATTCCTCTCCCTCCCTTTGCCTCCATTCTCAGTGCCACCTGCTCACCCCTCCCCTTCCCTCCACCCCCTCTCCCTTGCTCACCACTGCTGCTGTCCTTGGTTGCACCAGGGGCATGGTGGGGGAGGCTCTAAAGCTACTTCTGTCCACTCTAGCAGGGCTCTGTAGGGAGCTGGGCTCAGCAGCAGCTATAGGCAGGTTACTTCTCCCTGTCTGATCCCCCTTGGTGTTCCCTACTAGCTTGGGAAGAGGCACAGGAAGGGGATCCATCTGCTGCCACAGCTGCTGCCACCACTGCCTTTGGCCAAGCCTGGCTGCATGTGCAGCACTGGCAGGCAAGGGAGAGGGGAATGGAAAGAGAAAGGAGGGATATGTTGCTGAGCACAGAGAGGGAGGGAGTGGGGAGAGAAGATTCTTAAATGATTGAGAGACTTAAAAAAAGACCCCAGTTGCTGTTCCCACAGTATGGTCTTCCCATACTGATGTAAGGGGGAGGCTGGGAGCGGAGGGGCAGCTGCCTCTGTAGCAGTGGACGCTGCTCCTGCACTCCACCCTCCCCCCCTTTATAAAATCCTTGGTTACTAGCCCATGGATCCTCTCACCATTTTCTTAAGGTCATATCACTGCAGGAGGAGAGTATAGGAAGTACTGTTTGGTGGTACACCTGTGCCTAGTGTGGACTCCTGAGAATTGATAAGCTTAGAGACCAGGGGCCTGGTCTTTTAGTCTTACTTCTCTTCTCTCATGAGATACAGCTTAATCTTATTGTTGGCGAATGCTGAAGGCCTCTTATTTCTGCCTGTATCTATCTTGATTCAGTTGGAGCTGTATTGTCCAGGAATCTGAGACGTGCTTCTGTCTCTTGCTCTGATATAGCCCAAGTATAGGCATTGTACTTTAGAAGTTCATTCCATTTGGGACGCTTTTCTAAGCCTCACCACTATTTTGTATTTAAGTGGGTTGGGTCTCTCTCCATCTGGTAGCAGGCATTAAATATGGAAGATACTTCCACTTTGTGGGAAAACCATAGAGCCCAGTAGGATGGTGAACAACCAACCCAGACACATGTTATGGCATATTTAATCATCTGTGCACCCCATAGACTGATACACAGCTGACCTTGGGGTGATAAATTATATATACATGGTAGATGAATTAGATATATCTGTTTTTGGGGCTTTTAAAGGGGAAAAGAGAGAGACATAAAGGGGCTTTACAGCTGTAGCCTAAAGTTCAGCTGAGTATTGATGGCTTCATTGCATGATCATCTGATTAGTAGAAGGGCAATACTATATTTTATGCATAAACCATTAGAAGTTTTATTTTTAATTGTTTTCAAGTATTGTACTCTTTATCAATATGTATGTAACCATCAGCCCTGAGTGAGGGGTAGCTCACCCCTCAGAACAGACCAGGGTGGTTAGTTTGAGGGTGTAGCATAAAGGGTTTATCAGTAGGTGTCCGAGATAGCCACAGCTATGAATAACACTAGTTTTCTCAAATGTGCTGATATGGCCTCTCTGTCACACAGCACCACATATTCCAAATTGCCACATATGGGGTAGATTAGATATATAATTGACATACAGATTCTCTATTAACATTTAAATTATTCTAGTGAATTGTCTTTCAGGCACCTTCATCTCTCTCATGGTACCTGGCTGAAAAACTCTGAAGGCATAAAGTAAATCTTGTTCATCAAGAATCTGGACATTTTAGCCTCTCTCTTTTCTTCATGCCATATCTCTAAAGTCTCTTGTAAGAGCAACAACAAATTTGAGCATATGCTTTCCTTGGACAAAGAGCCTATATAGCATTTTCAGTTGCAAAGGATTTTTTTTTTTAATTTGAGGTGGAAGAAAGGTATGCTTATCTATAGTGTGAAGATACTCTCTCATTTTAACACTACGAAGTCTGGTATATTTGACCAAATTTTGTACATCAGCTGAAAACAAGGCAACTTTTCTGTGAATTAAAAGCAGTATAGCAGCTTGCTGCCTCCGAGCCTCTTCAACCAGGCTTTTACCACCCCTGAGCATCTCTCAGCAAGCATCAAAAATATGCAGTCTTTTAAACTTGATGGCTTTTGCTCCCTGGAGCATATCCCAGCATGCCCTAATATAATACAGTCTTTTAACACATAAAGCAAATAACAACAACAAAAAGTTATTGGCCTGGATACTGGAAAGGGTCCACTTTCAGCCCTCCTTATAGCCCAGAAGTATCCCACCTCTGGGGCTTCTCCTCTGTACCTCCCTCTGGTTCTGCTTTCTGAGATGTTTGATTCCCAGGGCACCCTGCACTAACCTTCACAGCTGCACTCCCTCACCAAGTTGCCTGCCTCCTCTTAGTGGGGGCAGGCCACCTTGTTCCAGGCAGGTTCATGGTTATTTTGTAAGAAGACATCTTTGAAGTATTTTCATAAATAATGCAACTACTTTTTAAGTCAGTGCAATATCTCATATATTAAAGTTTAGCATGTATTTCAGTGTTGTATGAAGGCCTTTATGGATAAAGCAAAGACATTCAGATAGCTATTAACAAGCATAGATCAATTTGTAAGCTGCTATGTTGTAAAGTAAAACATAGAAGTAAAGCAGTTATAAAATACTGGGATGTTGCACACATTTAAATTAATTCTTAGCTTCAGTAAAGATTGGGAACAGCCCTCCTGCGTTCTTTGTTTATCACTGTCTGCTAGCATTTGAAGGACAGATACAGTGGTACAAAGGTAAAGAATTGCTTGAGAAGAGCAGCTTGAGAGTGGCTGTGATTAATGAACAGATAAAGACACATGATTGCCTGCCTTTTTAGAATGAATGCTACCAGCTCATTAAGCTGGTGAGAACTCTTGAGACAATTGTTATAAACAGCCTTGTCTTGAGTTGAAAATGGTAGCATCTTATTTCAAATTAGATGACAACCTGAGGGAGATCTTTAGAAACTGCATCCTTCAGTGTGGACCAGTTTCCCCCCAGCTGGGTGTAATATGCACACTTGCTGGGGGTGCACTCTATGCCATCTTCCTATTAGTTGAAGATATTGAACAAACCTGGTCTCATACTGGCTTGTGGGGCACTCCAGTTGATATCAGCTGCCAAACAGAGCCATTGATTACTACCCTTCGAGCCTGACCATCCAGCCAGCTTTCTACTCACCTTACAGTCCATTCATCCAACCCATAACCCCTTAGCTTGCTTGCAAGCTCTTGTTTCTCTTTCGCAGAGGGATTGTGCCAGCAACATGTTCTCAGAAATACTGGATCATTTATGACTGAGCAAGGGACAGAATATCTGCTCTATTTCCCTCAGAGTAGACTAGGGCATAAATTGTAGCTCAAGAGTCACCGCTCATTTCCTAGACACCCTTACTCTACAGGGAAATAATCTTCTACTGATTTACATCAGTAGCAAGTTAGTTTCCCATCAATAATCACTCAGGTTGATTCACACTAGCCCATTCCTAAGGTCATTCCTAAGGGGCCATGACTAATCCCCCCACCCCAACAGAACTAAAGACATTGGTCAAACACGTTTCAATGACCCATGCAAGATTTTTATCAGTCAGTCATTGTTCTCTTCACTAGCCTTCTTCCACCTAACTCCATCTATGCTCTTAAATTCTCACATTGTCTCCAAATTTAGCTAAAGCCCTAGTTCTTGACTTTGCACCTCACTTTCTCCAATCTCGTCAAGATCCAGACTCCACATTTGGCCCACCTCTATAATGGCTCTCAACACACACATTTTGGAAGAGTTTGGAGTATGATATGAACTTTGTTGCTTGGGCTTTACCCACATTTTGCATGATTTAGGAAGAAAAAGACATGGCACCAAGTAAATTGTTTGAATGTTTTTTGTTGTTTATTTTAAGCTTTACATGCAAAACCAGTATAACAATTATATTTCCATAAATTATAAAATATATCACTGAATCACTATCCATGCAAAGGGAACCTTTGACACGAACTATCCTTCACAATCATCAGTTATTTGATTGGTCCCAATATTTATAGTTCACCGTTACAACTGCCAAAACTGGCAACCACCAAGATTGTTGTCTCAATTAGGGACAGTAAACAGATTGTCCCATTTTTAATGAAAAAATCTAAAATGTAATACTTCACAGTTTAACATGTTTATTCATCTAAACGAGCTAAAAAATAATGGTGTGACATCTGTTTGAGAAACACTGGTACCTAGCATTTTGGCTGTCTCCCCACCAATTTGGTTGTCATTAGGAATAAAAAAGAGAGTAGAGGATGCTGTCAATTAAATCCATTGACAAACTATCAAAATTCATTTTGTGTTCTTGAAAATGTGTGCCCCATATATAGCATAGTAATTTAAAGCAAACTATATAGTAGGATGAAGGGAAAAAACATTGTACTGCAAAAAAAGAGCTAGTCTGTTGTTTCTCTCTCTCTCCCCCTTATTGAGGGTGTCAACACACTGAATGTTGTTATGAGCATAAGAATACCCATGATCTTTGCCAGTTTATTCATCTCAGATTCATTTCTCAAAGTACAGGCAAAATCCTTTAGAAAGCTGTTCCAGTGTACATTTCTGCTATCTTACTGATGTGCCACATTGTTATTTCCTGGGCCACAATCATCATAATAATTGTACTAGCTTAAGTAAAATTCTAAATGCCATCTGAATCCGCAATATTCTGCTTGCTGGCTTTCTAAATTGGGTTATCTTGATTTCAAGCACATTCTCTTTCTGAGGACTTGCATCAGTGCACTTGACCTTGACCATTAAGGGTTCACTTGCGTCTAAGAGACACAGTTCTACTACACTGGAGCAGTACACAGTACTGGCACACTGCTTATTTGCAAAAGGAGATTCTTAATCTGCTAGCCTTAAATAAAATGAGCCCTGTGCTTGGTGTTAAATTTCACTGATAGGCTGTGGATCTTTTAATAGGGTTTTGCCCTGCACATTTTAAATAAGACAGTTTAAATACTGCTTATTTTCAAATCTAGTCTGTGGCTACATTCACTAGTCAGGTCAATATTACTCTGAATACTCAAGCAAGTACAAAATATCTCATATATTCTCATGTAGCTGTAATGTTCCAATATTCCAATGAATATGTTGTTGCTGCTGCAACTGATGGGATGTATTGACATAGCTATGATATATACTAGATTACATGGGTGTCTATATGGGATGCCTCAATAATCTTTAAATAAAGCATCCTTCAACAAAACTTTAAATAAATCTCTGGGGCCCTTTAGAGAAATATGTAATGCATATCTTCTCATTCTAATAAAATATACTCATGGACTTCTATGAACATATTAAAAATGTTTGCTTTGGAAAGTCTATCATATTCACTGTTCATATCATCATAACAACCACAATGGGGTTTTGCACTTCAGTTATACTCATGGAACTGTTCCCTGGTCTGCTGCTGTTCATATTATTAGAAAAAAAAGGTACTGGCAAAGTTTTATTGACCAAGATAATTGTTAGCATTATACTCCCTCTAGAGAGAAAAATCTTCCTGGCTAGGGATGAAAAATCTTCACTAGTCTTACTGCTATGGAGAACCTAGAGCCATCTGCCACTTTTTCCACAATGGGTCTGGTCAGTCAAGCAAGTTTCCCAAGTAGCTTCTATTAAGCTAGAACCCCAGTTGCAGTTTATATATTTACTGCCTAAAGAGAAGGCAGGACCAATAATAAAGCATGCTCAGTGTTGGGAGATGAATACTCTGGGATGTCACTGCCTCATGGAGTTTGGTTAATGATGTGACCAGCACCCTTTCCATAAAACAAGCCATATGAAATGATGCTCAGAATATATTCAAATCAGTGTGATTTTCGTGACAAACAAAATGGAGAAATTCTCGTTGTAAACATAAATGACCCCTATTAAGACTGGCTAGGAGACATATGAATCTCTTTTTGTTACGTTTTCAATATATAAGTCCTAAAGTTCATTCTAATACAAGTTTAGTGCCTAGAATCACATGGACTGTTCCATATTTCATAAACATTAGTGAGCTTTAATTGGTAGCACAGCTCAAATGTGAATACCATGCTGTGTGGGCCAATGGTATAGCCTTCCAAATGTATCTACCACTGCAGTGTAGATCCCACTAATAAAAGCTCCTAAGAACTTCTAGTAAAACGTACTCATACATACTCATTTTATGATCATTAAAATAGCCACTGAGCTACTGTTACAGAGACAAATGGCTTAAAAAGCTGAGATTGATCCTGATCTCAGATATGCATATACCTATAATTAAAGAAAAAAAGTATATTCACCTAAGGTACTGAAAATGATCTCCATTTAAAGGTATCAGAAGTGGATGCTGTAAATGCTCCAGAAAGCATATTGGCTGAGATAACCACAGGTCAGATTTTGACCTCCCATTAATACAAATCAGGTGTCATTGTACTGAAATCAATGGAGCCAGCATAAGAGAAGCAACACCAGAATCAGGTCCTATTCAATACATTTGTGCTTATGTAGTCAAAAAACAAGTGTCTGGTTTGACTGAAGGTAGGAGCTTTTAGCTCTACATACTTGTTACAAAATTAGCATTCTCCTGTCTTTAATGAGTGTACTAACAGCATGACTTATTTTTCACACTGTATTTGCTGTGATATTTTCTTTGCATCTCCATGTACATTGGTTTGGACCTCTGCAGGTATTCTAGCAATAGGGGACTCTCTGGTTACATGTGACTTAGTTATTTCTTTCACCTAAAAGACTCAAATACAAACAGCAGACCTTGAGAGCATTGTGGACTTCCGCTCCATAAACCAATGAGTTGATTTCACTAGTGAAATTGTTGATATATATAGTTTAATTTCACTAGTAACTCTCATAATACAGGGAAAGTTCTAATAATTTCAAGTTACTCTTTATGTTAGAAATATCCTACTTAAAAGTTTACTGTTTCAGAACACAATATACAAGGGAACATTTATGAATGGAATGATAATACTGTACACTTACAGTGCATGTAACACAAAGCGCAGTGCAGCTATTAACTAAAGAATCCCTATAGAATACATAGGTTTTTGTAGAAAGTGGATGTTGCTCACGCAAAACAGAAGAGAGGACAACAGTTCTGTGTGACATCTGGCATGGCACTTGATGAAGTGACAGGCATGTCACACTCCAAAGGCCAGCTTGTGATATGCCTTTCCTGACACTGAAAGAAATGCCACATATCATAAAAAGCATGTCGCCAAAAATGTAGTGTGTTGCAATATATTTGGCAATGTATGTAAGTATTACTGGACTCTACATAATGTGACTATATGAGTCGCAGGATTTTCTGACTGCAATTGGTCATAATTACGGAATGAAAAATGCTATATTTTCTCACATACAATGCACCCTATGCACCCCAGAATAAGATAAACACCTTGTTTTTGAAAGGCAAATGAAGAAAAAAAATCTTAACTTGTAGTAAGTAACTGAGTTGTGACAAATAGGGAGCCAAGCTTATTCACTGTTTTGCTCCCTGTGGATTGTGGGCAGATATTATTATCACTTTTTACTGGTAAGAAGCAAAAACCACTCTTACCATATTTCTCACATACAGAGTAACCATACTCCAATTTCCAGCAGCTGGGTTTTTGGAAAAAGATATATGTTGTATGTAAGAAAATATGGTACATGTATGCTATTTTGTTTCCATACATGTATTGGAGATGCTGTTATATTCTACATTTTTAGATGGGCTGTCTGGCATTACACAACTCAGTATGTGGAACATAACTGATAAAAAGTCTGTCCTTACCCAATCAATGTATCTTGGCACAGATATGGCTTAAAATAAGTCATATTGATTTAAGTTCCTAAACTGGGCTTTAACTAGTGATAATGGAATTATTAATATATTGTTATATGCTAGAATATTAATTTTAATTATTTTGCTTCCTTTTGTCTCTAAAATGACAATATTAGTCTAACTACCTTGAGCACTTCCTAAATGGGTCAGTAAACATCTTACTGGGAAATACGTTTAATTTTTAGCTCAAGACTCTTATATAAGATAAAACAGGGCTAATTTGATGATAGATTCAGGATTTCTTTAACCCCTCTAAAAGAAAATCTACCACATTTCCTTGACCTACACCACTGAAGGTAGTAGGGGTGGGTTTTTTTTCTTTCTGTGCACTGATTTAAAGAAAATAAAAATCAGAACAAGTGAAATGCTGACCATATTTTTCAAGAACACAGATATGACGGCCTTTCGCATCACAGGACCTGTAAACAAAGATACACCACAAACCAAACAGGACAGTATAAAACCTAAATTGAACAGACCTCTCTACAGGTGCTTTGATCTACCTCCTTTTTCAAGTTGTTTGCATTTGTTTAGTAGAGTGATCAGAAATAAACTCTATGCTACACATTCAGAATAGTACTTTGCAAGAATGCAAGAAAACCTTTGTTAGCAGATACCACTCTTTGCACTGGTTCGATGAAAATGATTGTATAACTGGAAAACAATTTTTACCACATCCTCTTAAGAAGGAGGGCAGGCTGATATTGCAGGAGGCAGAATAATATAATTAAAATATAATTTCTACTTTATTTTAATAATAGAGCAATACACTAATTAAAATCAACATTGTCTGAACTTTCTATTTACACCAGCTTAGACAGCACAGGAGGCAAGGAACTCTGTTTCAGAGGCATATGTGACTGTTCAAGCTTCTGTCATCCAGGTGTCCTTTTCTTACAGAGCACATGTGCACTGAACAGTTGGCAAAAGGATGAAAAAGATTATTGTAGATATGCGAGTATACAGAATCTAGGATGACATAAAATAGGCCCATACAGGAAATGAGAGATCGCTCCTGAAAAGACTTTGACCTATGACTTTTCTGAGTGTATGACAGAAAGAGCTGGGGAGAGAGAGAGAGAATGAGAAATTGAAGATGTGTTCTCAGTATAAATCAATGAAACATGTTTTATTTGGGATTTGTGTTTTCTTTTAGATGTAATAAAAATCTAGTTCAATTATTGGGAAATTCAGATTCATGGAATGGGTACATGACTCTTCAGAGGTCAGCATCTACCCTTTTAGATACCAGTAATTATAACACAAAAAACTGTTTTTTGACATGAAAGTTTTCATTCAGAAAAAGTAAATAATATGAATTGGTCACTTTATTCAAGTATACCATTCAGTAATCATACTGTAGGGCTTCTGTGCTTCCTGATAACCAAAAAAGCTTTGTTTCACCAGTTTTTTTCCCTATTTTGCAGATTCAGAACACCAGAGAGGCTGAGATATTGCAAAGTATCATTGTGTAGTAAGCCATACCATTTCCTACAGCTATGTTGTCGCACTGTGTGGTTCCGTGTAGTATTGTTCAAGGTAGATGCTTTTTCCCAAAGAGAACACTGCATCTGCTAGTTTTCATCTGGATCCAGATCAAGGTCAACTTCATTGGAAAGGTTAAGATAAAAGAAAGCGTAGAAAGCCAACAGAAATACCAGTATAGCTACAAGGACAAGGGCAACTTCCTGTACAAATGAGAAAATGTAAAAATGATATAATGTTAGAGACAACGTCATCATTTCAGATAAATCAGGAACAAATGTTATTTCCTTGTAAATAAATCTCAAAGAAGTCTCATCAGATGATATTATTTGCACAGCCAGATGGCATTTTAAAGAACCCTCCTTTACTGCCACCAGTCTGACATGTCATCAAGCATTTAGTTACTTCCATGGAATGGTCAGATTTTGGTGGGTGAGATGCATCCTTTAGGCAATCAACACAAAATTCATGAAAATAGGTTTTAATGAAAATCTGAACCATGAATTTAGATGGTGCTTGGCTATTTGTACCTTTTATTGCAATGAGATTGCTTTTTGGTAATGTACTTTTAAATTATTAACAAGACACATACTGTACAGAAAAAAAAAAAAAAATCGGTGAGAAATGGTATTCCCAATTCTTAATCTGTTATAGGTCTGATCTGCAAGATCCCTCAAAACAACATAAACATTTTCCACATTCCTTACTTACGTAATCCTGGCAGAAAGCAGGAGTTTGCACTAGAAACTTCAGAAGATCCCAACCTTCTGTAGCTTCCTTGATTAATATAAACAAGTCTTTTGGAGGTTTAAAATTTGACAAATGCTTTGGTAGCAAATGCTTTCCCCGGTATGTCAACTCTTAGGCTGTAAATAGACATCATATTTGATGTAGTCTTGACTGTCCCGGGTTTTGACCCAGCTCAAAACAAGAGGGGTACAGTCACATGCACAAGTAACCTTTCAAAATTGCATTGCTCTGCCAGTAGGTGGCCAGTGACAGCACACAGTCTGATCAGCTTGTTAGGAAATGACCTCCCAGAAGCACACCACAATGTTTGGGGGAAACAAAGCACTAGCAGATCGTACCCCTCTTACTTCAGCAGGCCTGAAACAGGATAGGGGTCTTGTATGTTTGTAAGATCCTGGGTCAAATGCAACCTCTATTTACAGCCACCTATTCTGTTTTAGGGCCAGAATCTCTTTCTTGGCTTGAACTTTGGCTCTCGAATGTGTTAAATCAAAGTACAGCCATCTACTTTATAATACTACCTCTTTAAAATATGAAATGCTTGGCTTCCAAAGAAAATATTATGTAATAAAGAGTTGGATATTTTCAGTTTCCTGGAAAATACAACTAAGGCCCCCACTACAAGTTACATCTATTACACAATTACCTGGTTAACTGTGCAATTAATTTAGACTGGCTATATGTGTAAATTAACTATGGCACCTTAAAAAGGTCCAACCAGCTTTAAAGTTACTGCTAGAAAATACATAATAACATTACAGCTAGTTTCTATCCAGCTTTAATTTGTACGCGCAGCCTGTGCCTCTGTGGCAGGGAGACCACAGTTGTTGCCATTTCCCAGCTGTGGGGATGGCCCATGGCTGCTGGGGCTAAGAGTTCCCTCAGTTGCCGGACTCTCAGGTGCAGGAGCTGCCTATTTACAGTGATCCCAGGCTCCCTGTGTACTGGCAATAAGGCATGATAGGATTTGATGCTGGATCCTATAATCATGCCTCCTACTATACACGTGGCATGGTAGGAGGTCTGGTTGTGTGGATCTTGCATTAGATCCCATCACGCCTTTACCTGCACATGTAGAAAGGTCCATAGTCTCCTACATTATGCACTGTTCACTATAATTTTCTCAGGCAGTGAAATATGGAGTACTGTTTTAAATACTGTGCTGCACGTGCCCAACATAAATGGAAATTGTCACTACTACTGTTGATAATACATATTAATTCATTACCTATTATTATAATTTATTATTAAAATCATATATTGGGGGTCCTAAAATTGACCAACCCAACTCCTCCTCTCTACATTTAAAAAACAACTTTTCCCACAGGCCCATCTGCAATCTGCACAAACACAACCCATCCATATACCTAAAAGGGCAGAAGGACCAAACTGCAGAATGAAGCAGGTATATACTGAAGGTAATCTGTACAAGAAAAACTAACAGGGTGTTAGATGAATACTGTCAGTGAAAGAGATACACTAGGCAGGAGCACAATGGGTAGGCCACTGGAATAGACTCAGATCTTGGTGCTGACCCCATCCTTGTGAATCACTAACTGAGCTTACAAACCCGAAAGAGTTAAAACTCTTGTGTTAGCTCCATTTTAAAGTCTGGCCCATAACCTGGCATTCTTCTATAGAACAGCTGCATTCTGGCATTGTTCTATAGAGCAGCACTTAATTTGCATTTACATGAATGCATTTTATATTTTATCAGAATGTTGGATCAATAATTCAACATATGCCATCTAATAAACTTTGAAAAATTACTGCTTATTGGCTTATGCTCTATATGAATTGGTGCTCTATAGGAACCTTGGCTTTTTGGATGACTTTAATTTAGAAGTATTTTTATATTTTTTAACAAATGTTCACATTGCTTCTATTAATTCACTTGTGCCTTTTGCTATATAGACCCTGACTATAATTTTTTTCATTAGAATGATACCATTACTTGAACCTTATCATCATCTTCATTTTATATTATTTGATACAAAAGAAAATTACATCTAATTTATTAATATATTAGATGAAAGAGATTTTTGCTTTGTTGAAGTTGCAACACGTCAGTATCTCAAAAGGGCATGGCAGCATCAGACAGGTTTCATTTATTTCCTTGTATCCACAGCTGTGCTCCCAGACCCATCTGGCCACACAGCTACTAATCTTAAGAGGATGTAATAAACAAGTGACACACAACTGCAAGCTCCATCTGCTCAGGAAAGTGGACAACAAAACCATACAATACAGCCACCGTTCACTGTGACACAGAAAGAAAATGCACTCTAGTATTAAAGTTTTTCTATTGTTTGGATGCAATGCTTTCCACACTTACAGTTGACCCTTCTCCATTTTCCCCCAATCTCCCTTATAAAATTCTTTGAGTTTCATAAACCAACTTTTTGAAAATGTTTATGCTGAAACAGTATTGCCTGGGAACTTTGTATCAGAAGATCTAGATTATACCTCTAGGTCTCCAGTGACTTGCATGACTTTAGGTTAATGCACCTACCTTATCTGTGCCTTATTTTTATCTTATATGAAGGAACAATAATATTATTTCTTTTCTTACAGGGTATTAAAACGTGGGTGGGAGGCTAATGTTTCTTAAGCATTAACAGTGCTTACAATTCAAGTCTCTCATAGGAAGGAATTGACTTCAAGCTTGAGAATATTACAAGCTTAATTTTTAGTTATTGAGAATTATAGCTTCTTTTGTTAAGCAATGAACTGAGGACACATGGTTTGCAATTAGGCATATGTAGTCTTCTATTGTCTCAGAATTGTACCAGGTTTATGAACTTTACAGCTTATGAACTTTACAAATAAAACTGCTTTACCATGAAATATAGGACTCAAAAACCTATGAAGCTGCTATACTTTTTTGCAACAAAAATAAACTATGTTGGTATAATTTATTATCTATCTATCTATCTAGGCAGATAGCTCTCTCTCTCTCTTTCTCTATAGATATGCCTTTGCCATTTGTATTCTAGACCAAACATAAAAGTAAATTGTAAAAATACACTATTTGGCAAATCTAGTTCCTGCTCTTATGATCCCTCCCTCCCCAAATTCATTTTACTCAGAGGATTTCACTATGAATAATTAACTCTCATAGAAAAAAAAGAGTCCTATAGAAATAAACTGAAAATGATCATCAGGTTTTGAATAATTTTTCTGAATTTTCTATGTTTTTGGAACACTTTTCATAGGACAGTACTGAATTCACCTCTATTAAGTTCCTTAGATCTTTTCTGTAGTGACAACATACTTAATTGATTATTGTATACAAAAGACTTTATATTTCTCTCATTTTTGCCAATTTTACAGGTAAAAGATAAAATAATAGACAATAAACATAAAATAATAAATGATACCACAAAGCTCTCTGTTATCAATCTGTTATTTACTGTTATCAATTATCAAAATTACTGGTTGCCTAGATATTAGTGATGATGATCTGATTACATCTACCTTATGCATACAAAATATGGCACTGACAATTAATACATATATTTGGAATTTAAAAGGTTTAAAGAAACTGTTGGCAAAACTGACTAGGAACATAAATGTATTGCAGGAAGTATTAACAAAAGCTGGAATTGTTCAAAGATATCCTACTGGTATGCTCAAAAATCCACAATTTTACAGACATGGAAAAAAAAGTTACAGTGGGCAAGAAGCCATCCTGATTAAAAGAAGATGTGCAAGATCTGATAACACAGAGGAAAATGATAGATCAAGGAAGAAAATGTCAAGTAAACAATGAATATAAACTGCAAGTTAAAAGAGGAAGACATTGTTAAAGGAAGCCAAATAACCAATGGATGATCAATGGACAAGCCATTTAAAAAAATTTAAAACTACTAGGAACAAGAAAACCATAGGCTGGGTATAGATTAGATGTAAAACTGTAAAGCGTGATCTACAAAAGTCAGAAAGGTTCAACAGCTATTTTTGTTCTGTATTTAGAATGAAGCAGGAAATTTCCATTTCCTATGATGTTGTTGCTAGAATAGAAAGTTTACTATCTGTAACAAAGAAAGATGCAAGTCAGCAACCGCTAAAATTAAACATTTTTAATCAAAAGGTCTGGCTAACTTACACCTGAATAAAAAACTAAGAAGTTTTCTGAATCATGAATAGAAATATTAAAAAATAGAACTGGAAGAGACCTGATGCACAATTAAATCTAGTCCACTACTATTACAGACAATCACATCATAAAATCTCATTCATTCATTCATCATGCTCCATCTTACAACTAGATAGAGGTTTTGTTCCCACTGAACCTGCTGGAATGCTGTGCAAGAACCCCACTCCTCTAATTAGTTAAGCCTTCTAATTTCGAGCCCAAATTTGAACAGTTTATCCACGTTTGTTCTTGTGCCAAGATGGTCCTTTGGGTTAAATAACTCTTCTCCCTCTCTATTTACCCCAAATCGTAGTT